TTTGGCCTATACCCTAAAAGGGGACAAAGAATTAAATAGTCAAGAGAATTATCAGCCAAAGCTGAGAAGGAATTGGCTCTAGTAGAAAAGACAATACAAGAAGTGCAGTGGATTGTGTGAATCCAGAACTTAAATGCATTCTGGTCATACTCCCCTCCAGATATTCCCCTACAGGTATTTTGATGCAGAGGGAAGATATTATATTGGAATGGATATTTCTACCATATAAACCAAGTAAGTTAAAGACTTATATAGAAAAGATCTCTGATTTGATTCAAAAAGGAAAATTAAGACTTTGCCAATTGACAGGAATGGACCCAGAAGAAATTGTAGTACTTTTAACTAATGGGGAAATTTCCTCACTATGGAAAGATAAAAAATACTGGCAGAGAGCCTGCAGGAACTTTTGGGGAGAGATTAACAACCATTATCCCAAAAGCAAGAGAATAGAATTCATAAAGATGACTGAATGGGTCCTTCCTCACATTGTACAACAAAAGCCAATTTCTGAAGTCTTCACATTATATACTAATGCAAATAAATCAGGGAAAGACAAGTAAAGTGGTTCAAAGTCCATATAACTCTGTACAAAAAGCAGAACTGCATGCCATTCTTATGGTACTGATGGACTACACAGAACCCCTCAATATAGTCACTGACTTTCAATATGCAGAGTTGTTTTACATATTGAAACTGCTGAATTTATTCCTAATAATACAGAATTAACTTCATTATTCATATAATTACAGGAAGTCATCAGAAATAGGGATATATATATCTTAGTCATATCATATCATATCATATCATATCATATCATATCATATCATATCATATCATATCACATATTAGATCCCATATGGGTCTGCAGGACCTCTAGCACAAGGTAATAATGAGATTGATCACTTACTAATAAGAAACATGCTAGAACCCTCAGAATTTAATAAGAAACACCATGTAAATAGCTAAGGTTTGAAGGATTTCTCCATCACTTGACAATAAGCCAAGAATATCGTAAAAAAAATGTCCTACTTGTTCCTTCTATAACCAAACTCCATTACCTGCAGGAAGCAATCCAAAAGGTATACAATGAAATGAAATTTGACAGATGGATTTATTTCATTTTGCAGAATTTGGAAGATTAAAGTATGTATACTGTACCAGTGACACCTATTCAGAATTTCAGTGGGCAGCTCCTATGGATTCTGAAAAGGCTGATTCTGTGATTACACACCTATTAGAAGTTAAGGCCATGATGTGAATACCTGTACAAATTAAGACAGACAATGCCCCAGCATATGTCTCCAATAAGATGAGATAGTTTTTTGCCTATTACAATATAAAGCATGTTACAGGTATACCATACAATCCCACAAGCCAAGCTGTCATAGAAAGAGCTAATCAAACTTTTTTTGTTTTGTTTTATTTTGTTTTTGTTTTTCAAGACAGGGTTTCTCTGTGTAGCTTTGTGCCTTTCCTGGATCTTGCTCTATAGACCATGCTGGCCTCGAACTCACAAAGATCCACCTGCCTCTGCCTCCCGAGTGCTGGGATTAAAGGCATGCGCCATGACCACCCGGCATGATCTAATCAAACTTTAAAGGATATGCTAAATAAACAGCAACAGGTAACAATGACGCCTAGAAATAGATTGCATAATGCTTTATTAACCTTGAATTTTCTCAATACTGATGAGAAAGGAGCAACAGCTGCAGAGAGACATTGGACAACAAACACAACTTCTGAGCTAAATCAACCGTTGGTTTATTTCAAAGATGTGTTGGCCTCAGAATGGAAACCAGGATATGTCCTATGTTGGGGAAGGGGTTTTACTTTTGTTTCTGCAGGAGAAGAAAAGCTATGGATACCAACAAAATTAATAAAACTTCGATTTGAACAGGAGAAACCCCTTGAGGAAAAGTAAAAGCTCATCCACCAATGTGACATCTCTACAAGTTGTAAGAAAAATTTAACAAACAAGGGTTGGGGTAGGGTTCTGTTTTTGTCTTTACAGGATAATAAAAATACTCATCTTCCAGAAATCATAAGACCTTGGATATAAAAACATCTACAACAGAAGAATCTATTGGTACCAATCTACACAGGGTAAAATCTCACTGTCTAACATCTATGTCTCTTTAACTCTAGAAAAGTTGTGATTCAGATTCATTTACATGCCAAGCTGGCTTTGGAGTTGGAATTAGCTCACTCCTCTAAACCCAAGCATATTGCTAAAAGAAAAGGTTAAGAGATTTTTGTCTCATATCAGAAGAGTTGTCTCGTGTGGGACTGTAGAAAACCAATAAAAAGGGACCATTGTCTTCAAGATCCTAATTCTCTCCTTGCTTATTCTTGATTTCTCAGAATTCTTTCTTACATGTCATGTCATCTTTAAATCCAAACTTTCCATTTTGATATTAATAATGTCCAAGTTTTCCACAGTAAAAAATAAGTCTTTTCCAATAGCAATCTCTGAAGTCTCCAGAAGGAAGACAGAAGTCCACAACACCTCTACCCAGTTCAGAATTATGCCATGGTACTCACAAACATTACTCAATGATTAACCTTGGACTGAAAACTCTCCAAGGTAATTCCATAAGACGGTTCATCATTCGACACTTCTAGCCAGTCTCAAGAGTAATTCCAACAAAATTAATAAATTTTGTTAAATTTGTTTATAAATAAGCCCAACTTATCTGAGCTTCCTTATAGGACCCCACAGAGATATCATCACCCCCTGAAGAGCAGGAAGCTATTCTAAGAAAACGATGCCCCCTTTTCCCAAAGGTTTCGTGTTTCTGGGAGTTATGGATAAGGGTTATATGGGTGGGGGTGGAAGAAAACATTGGACTTGGTATTTCCCTTAAGAAAGAAAAAAAAGAATAATGGATAGGTATAGCATATTAAGGTAGATTATTATATATACTAGTAAACTAATTTAGTAAAATATCAGCCTTAGATAAATTGTAGTTATGGATTCTTATATATTGATGCAAATGTAAACCTTTTATATTCTTATTCCAGGTAATTTATATATTTATACAAATATAGAACCGTATTTGTTGTAATGTAAATAAATTTCTACTCTTATTTGAAATGTTTGTATATTGATACATGTGTAAAATTATATTTGTCATACTGTATTTATGTTTTACTTCTGTTTAGGATATTTGGTATATTGATACATATTTAGGATTATTGTCATATTGCATATTGTACTATACATTCCTACTTCTGCTTTAGTTATTTTGTGTACTGTCACAATTTTGAGGTCACTGTCCTTTTACTGTACATTTGCTTACAGACTGTTTATCCTGTTTACACAAAGCCTTAGTCCTTAGGTTATCTAGGTAGATAAGACTTAAGAGATTTATAGTCACCTATACTTGTCATCTCTATAGTTATGTTCGATTCTCCAGATTTATCGAAACATATGTCAGATGGATAGGTAATCTTCAAACACTTCATTGATGTGGAGAATATGGCATTTAAATGTTTTGATACCTTGGAATTCTGTCGATATGAGACATGATTGTTCCTGGTAGCACTGATCTGATCCCGAGAGAATGTTGGGGTTCTGAGACATTTCAGTTTGAAAGTTTGTCTTCACCTTGGCACAAAATGGCCTACTGGGCAAAGAACTGCCCTTGCCTCAACTGCTGACAGTAAAATTGTCTGACAGATACTCGAGACCTGTAGCCAATTTGAATGCACCAACAATGCTGAGAAATTCTAGGTGACTGTCCAGGCTGCCACCAACTGTCTCTGTCTACTCTCGAAAGACTCCTGAAAGTTGCTTGCATCCTTCTTCCGTTTCTCAGAGGTATTATTATATTTCGTCTCAGGTCTTTGATGGGATTGAAGACTTAAGTTATAGTTACAACCTTCTTGTATCTTAGCTAGAACATATTATATTCAGGTTCTTTAGGATAGGATACCTTTTGGGATGACCTCTGTAATACGCCATTTACCTATGCTCCAGACTTCTCTGGACTTTAGTATTTTAGTATCTGTCTCTTGTTTGATGTAGCTCCATCTTGTCTGGGTCATTATCTCTTATTCCTCCTGGACAATATTTGATGATCATTCCTATTGTATACAGTTTTGTATTAGGTTAGAACTTTCTTATTTAGACAAATAGGGGAGACCTTGAAGCATGACCCCAGTGAGGCAGCCAGTAACTGCCATGCCTACCTAGGATGTGCTTCTGGGGTGTGGCTGGGACAGGAGCCCTTAACACCCGAGATCCAGATGTGCCAGCCCTCTTGGTTCCTCGTGATCCTGGATGCTGAATGGCAGAGTCAGAGTTCTCCAGAGAACCCCATTGGACTGCACCTCACCTCTCCTGGATCCTGTAACCAACCCCTTACTGGCTGTAAGTTACCTCAAAACAAACCTCCTTTTAACTACATGGAGTTGCCTTGTTAAATCCCTGCATTACTAAGCTGGCTCTATTCTGGTGCCACTGGGACAATGACAGTGGGGATTCCACTCCAGTTCCTTCAACAGTAATGCTATTTTAGCTACCTCCTCTAAAAGGTCAGACGGAAACCTTCTTCCTCTGGGTGTTCTTTGACGCTGTCAGCTTTCTTGATATACTGTTGGTCAGTCATGGGCAGTGTTATCTCAAGTCTTGTACGAACCTCTGGGGATTCCAGTATGTGCCATCTGTTACAAAATGCCTGAAAGCAAGCAGGTCTTGGCATCTGGAAGTAGTTTCCAAATCTGATTTTTTTTTTTTCCCCTTAGTTCTTTGAGACAGGGACTTGAATTGTACCCTCGGCTGTCCTATGTTGCTATGTAGATCAGGCTAGCTAAAACTCATAAACATCAACTGGCTCTGCCTCCTGAATTTTGGGCATGAAGGCTGCACCAAGCCAAAACCAAATCTGATTCTTTCAGTCTTGTTATACAGACCAGGCTGTACTTGGATTCATAATACTCCTGCATCAGCCCTCCAAGAACTGGGACTTGTGTATGTCAACACACCTGGCTCACCAATGTTTCATATAGACAGAACAACTGACAAAAAAGCTTTATTTACGAAGATGTAGAGGAACACCAGACACCCAGGGAAACCGCTCCCTATTCGTACCTCAGAACTTCCACTGTGCACCAGTAGAGTGCCCCACTTGAGCACCATGCTGCATGCTGGTTTGATTGACCTCCCAGTTACTAACTACGTAGTCTGTCTCTCTTGAGTGGTGACGCAGACATCTCAGGGCTCTCTTGACATACCATCTCTTGGACGGGTTACACTCTACTTCAGTGCTTCTTTGGGGAGAGGTGTGCACAAAATCCTTTTATCAGAGCCTTTTTAAGCATTACGTTCTCTTAGTACTGAGGGAAGCCAGGAACACGGCAAAGGGAGGCATTTAAAGAAATTAGAAATCAGCAAATTAAAGTCTCCAACCTAAGGGATCAACTCCATGGTTAAAATAGCAGGTTGAATTTTTTTTTTAAAGAAGCACCGTGCATTTTTATATATATAGCACACAATGTTTAACAAAGAAAAAAATTCTTTAAAACAGCCTGTTAAATAGCTCTGGCTAGACTGGAACTTTTATGTAGACCAGTCTGGCTTGAACAAAGAGATCAGCCTGCCTTGAATTCCCAAGTGCTGGGATTAAAGGTATGTCCCACAATGCCCAAATGACTGAACTAACTAATTGTGGTGTTTAGGCAAAACCTCCAAGTTGTTTCTCTCAAATGATTGCTAGCCAAACAAAATCAAAGAAAAGGGCACAAATCAATAGTCTGCTTTAGAATAAAAACAAAAGGAAGGAATTTCTGTGTACTAGATCTGGCAGGGATACATCCCAGGTTACAGCTGAGTGTCAAGAATGGGGAAAGTGGCTGCTTGTACAAGAGGGCTTCTGACACAGCAGCAGCTCCACTGCCACCACAGGAACACACAGTGGCAACATGGGTCCACGACAGGGTATTGTGTGAGAACACAGACCACAGAAGTACATACCGAATGCAAATTAGAAATACACAAAATCCCAAGACACAATACATGTAGGACTGTCCCCATACAAAGGGGTCACAAACTGAACTGTGCAATGTTACAATGTATAGTATTAGAGAAACACTGTAAACAAACATTCAAATATGAAAACATGACATGTACACAACATATAATTACTGAGAACTTTTTAGGTAAGGTTTTCAGAAAACCCAAGAATAGATTTTATATTACAAAATGGTCCATATCGCCCAAAAATGTCTTTTGACTGAACAGTAAAATAATATTTGTTGGAAGTTAAAAACTGAGATAAAGTGCAGGCCATTGGGAGAGGTAAAGCTTTAATTTCTGCAATTTTCTTCCAAGTCAAATGATTTGAGTTCTCATAGCACAGGAAGAGGTGGTAGCTCTCCACAGGAGCACACTTGGGGTTGACCTTGGGGATGTTCCAAGTCAGGGCAATGCCTGGCGGCTTCAACACCCACTTCACTCTCAGCTCAGGCTTTTGGGGAGGAAGAGTGTCTTGGATTTTGTCTGCCATCTCAGGGAGTGGTGGTGGTGGCTCTGGGAGAGGTGGCAGGTGTTCAAATGAATCAAAACCCTACAAACACATTTGCAAGAAAGTTCATCGAGATCATTTGGTGAGTACAGACAAAAGTGGTCAAGCTCAGGTGTACAAATCTACTTCTCACTCTTCAATCCTTCATCAAAGCAATGAAAGGTTATTTCAGGAAAAATGAAGCTAGATTAATGTTTTGTGTGTATGTGCTAGTAGCCCTGTCAGTATATATACACATGCGGGGAGGTCAGAGGACAACCTCACATGCTACCTATATTCCTCACTGCATTAGGCTAGTCTGTCTGGACAGCAAACTCCAGTGATCCACTTGTTTCTGCCTTCCTAGTTTGGCTTATTTAATTTTTAAATGTTGGTTACAGGACCAAACTCAGGTCTTCACGTTTGCAGTGCACTTTAATGACTGCACCATCTCCTGGCCTCTAGATCCAATCTTTTCAAAACAGAAGGTTTTTTGGAGCTTAGATTTGTTTTGAATGATCCTAGGAACTGGACCCAGCACTTTGCACATTCTAGGTAAATGTTCTACCTCTGAGCCACATTCCAAGCTGTTGGAATAATAATTACTACACTGTGAAATATTACTAATCCATGATGAAGGAGGTCTCAGGCCTTCAGGAGAGCAAACAATCTCATTTCAACATTGTGTTTCCAAACATCATAGTAATTTCTCCAATAACCTCATCAACAATGCTTATTAATCCTAAAATAAATGAAAAACTGTTTCCATTTCTATAGCTTCTAAATATTGCTAACTGAATTCTTTTTATTATGTAAGTGGATTCACAAGAAAAGCCATTAAGGTGTTTCCTAAGCTGAAATGTGGCTCAGATGTTTCCAGAGTAAAACAGATAAATTCCACTCTGCTGGAATGAACATCTTTTACACAGCATTTCAGATTAGTACCTCAGCTCCATTTTCTGCCACTGGGATTATTTCATTTGATCTTAAAACAGCTTTCGAAGATGACTTCAGGGTGAATGCTGGGCTTTCTGTGAACAAGACAGTATAATTTAGAGCTAAGGGTGTATCTCAGTGATAAAGCACTTGTCTACCATAAGTGAGAAGGCTCCAGCACTATAAGAAAATGAAAATAAGTAAGTAAAATTTACCTGGAACAAATTCCACAGTGTTTAAGCAGTTGTACACCTTGGGTAATAAATACAGTTACAAGCACAAAATTCACATGAATATACAGTTTTGATAGAACACACAGAATTTTCCATTAAGGTGACAAAAATTCCCTCTAAAAGTAAATCCTTTATTATTGCAACTAGGAATTTGGTATTTATACATGGGAGAGGGATCCAAGAGATCAAACAGGTAGACTTTTCTGTTAGATCAATAAGGATGCCTACAAACACTAAGTTACTTATAAACACATATGAATATGTAACATACACAAGCTTAGGAATTCAAACAAAAAAGTCCCACAAGCTAGGAGCACTCTCTCCTGAGGTATGTATTCATATGGAGGGAATTAAAGATACTGACCTTGGGACAGGGGAGAAGAGAAGGAAAGATATACTAAGAGGAAGAAAAAAGAGGTAGGGAGGATGGAGAAACTATGGTGGGACAAAAGGAAAGGTGTAGAAAGGTTTGTGAATGGTTTTAAACAGCTAGGTGTAGAACACATAGAGAAGATTAAAATGGGTGGATAACACTGGAAAGTATGAGGGCTAGATCAGTAATGATCAGTAATCACCATATGAGGTCTGTCTAGCTTGATGCACCCTCTGCAATTATTTGCTTGTATTTTTCTTTTGGTATATAAAGATTATTAAGATTTTAGATTTTCTGTCCGTTTATTTTTACAGTTCTTTTCATTTTTCTTGTGTGTGTGTCTGTATTTGAGACAAAGTCCCACTATATATAGCTCTAGCTGCCTTAGAACGCAGAGATCCACCTGCCTCTGCCTCCTAAGTACTGGGATTAAATGTGCATGCCACCATGGCCAACTATTTTACAGGTATTAAGAAACCTTAGAAGAGGTAATAAATTTTTAGTTTTAATTTTGAGATTCTGTATAGGCTTTTAATCATGCTTTAATTAATCAAAGCTAGGTCTGCTAAAATCAAAGTCTTCAGACTAATCATCACATAAAGTGATAAAATAGCCTTTAAATTTTCAAGTAAATAATTTAATACAAAGAAAAATCCTAAGAAACATAGTTTCCCAGGAGTAACACTTACTTCAAAGTAATAATCACAAGCTCTGGACAAAGTAACACAGGCCCAGAGACCCAACTTTGTGGTGGTAAGAGACATGACTTCTGCTAACTGGTGTTGGTATGTGTTATCATTAGTAATGCCAATGTCTGAGCTTTTGTCCTTATTTCTATGAAAAAAAAAAAAAAAATGAGTAACAGTGGTGTTACCGTTTTGTGCTCCCAAAGCAACAGTAACCAGAACCATGTGATTTTAAGATTCTCCTTAAACAGGTGGAAACTGTGGCCCCTAGTTTCCACTTAACCTTTTAATGTTATATTTTGGAAATGACCTACTCAGAGATGCAATTTATACCCAACAAGATATACCCTTTCTAAGTTTTAACATATACTTTTGAGACCTGAAACCATTACCAAAATAAGATATAAAAAATATTATCACCCCTAAGTTTTCCTTGTCTGTGCTTGTTCTTTGAGATAAGGTTTCACGTAGCCCAGGCTGGCCTTGAACTCCTGATCCTCTCGCTCTACTTCCTGGAATTACGGGCATGCACCATTATGGCTAGTTTATCCACAGAAGTTCTTTAGGATTCTTTTTGAATCAACCTATCTCACTTGAAATCAATTGTTTGTTGTTACTAATGACTATAGATAGGCAGGGCAGTGGTGGCACACACCTTTAATCCCAGGATTTGGGAGACAGAGATAGAAGGATCTCTGAGTTAGAGGCCAGCAGTTCCAGGAGAGCCAGGGCTAGAGAAACCTTCTTTCAATAAACTCATGGCCAAGGGATTAATATCTAGCATTGAAAAAGGACTTGCCTTTTCTAGAATCTCACACATATTGAATCATACAAACGCAGGATTATTTTGCCATCATGTGCCATTATACATTGGCCACATGTATAAACATTTTATTTCTTGATTGTTAAGGTATATAGATAAGTAATCTATATATTCATCAGCTGGTAGACTTTTAAATAAAGATGTTATGAGAAATTATGTTTTTACTGTGTGTAGCTGAATGTGGTGGTATACACACCTACAATCCCAGCATTTGGGAAACAGAGGTAAAGCTGCAAGTTAAGGGGCAGATGAGCTACTTAATGAGATCCTGTCAAATCAAGTCTGTTTAGAAGTGGGTTTTCTTTCCTCGGAGAAATATATGGAAAAGACCGGTCTATTCATACAACAAGGCTATAAGTAATATTTTTAAAAACTGTCAAACTAAGTTGTTTAGTCATTTTACATTATTAGTAACAAAGAATCCCAAGTTGATACATGGCTTCAGCAACATACACACCTTCAGTTCACTTTGGTTATTCTATTGGGTATGTTATAAATCTCAGTTGGCTTTACTTTCCCTAATGAGAACACTATTTAGGACATTGCTTTTGCTCACTTCTTATTTTCTTATTTATATCAAAGCAAAGGTCTTCCTCCTTTGGCTTCGGCTTTGTTTTGTTGTGGAGTCTCTTGGATGAGTATCTTGAAATCTCCATTTTATTGCCACACCTGGTTTATTATTCTTCTACTTGAAATATTTATTGCCATGCCCATCCTTACTGTACCACAATTTGGTTAACACTTTTTAACATGGACCCACTTTTCAGTTGATATCTTATTTCCTTTAATAAACTTCCTTTACGGCTGGGGAGATGATTCTGTGGCTAACAAGTCTGCTATGAAAGCATGAAGACCGGTATCTGGATCCGCAGCACTCACATGAAAGCTGGGCACAAGTATCGGTAATCCCAGCACAGGGGACATGGAGACACGTAGATCCACAGGGCTTGCTGGACAGTCAGTCCAGCTGAAATGGTGAGCCCCAGATTTAGTGAGAGACTGTCTAAAAACTCCTGACATAAACTTTTGGCCTCCATAATATTCACAGGTGTGCATGTACACACATACCACACATACAACTTCCTTTAGTTCTGATAGTAGTTAGTTGGCAATAAATTTTGCTTACCTGAAAAGGTGTTAATCTTATTTCTATTTTTGTTTTTGAGACAGGGTCTCATGCTATGCCCAGATTTGCCTTAACTCCAAATCCTCCTGTCTTCAACTCTCAAGTGCTGGAGTCACAGGTGTGCACCATTACTATTTCATTTTTGAAAGAAATATCTACTTGATTAAGAATTCAGGGTTGGTAATTTTTTTCCTTGAAATTCCTATACTGCATTAATCTTCCATATGACAGGGCAAAGATTCTTCTATCTTGTCTCATTTGGAGCCATCTTTGATTTAGCCTGAAACTGATCCCTCTTTTTCTATTCCCACCATAAAAAGTCCTGTGGGAAAGTGTCTAATCCTGTTCTAGAAACTCAGGGTTGAAATGCCCCAGATAACTGCATGTTTTTTTGGCTTCTGTTAAACAGCTTGCTTGCTCTACCCCACAACTGCTATCTAGGATGTAAATTTTTCTACGTTCTTTCTTTAAGGCTGTTCTCTAAGAATTGTTTTTCTCTAGGCAGTCATGGTCCGCTTAATATAGATGCTCAGTTCAGATGGTCATGGTAAGTGGTCTTTGGGTCTCTACCCCACAACATTCTCCTTAGACATCGTGCCAACACAGATCAAGTCACCAAAAAATATTTGCTCATCTTGCTTTTTGCAGCAGTGTTGGCTTTTGTAGCCATACCCAACTCCCTTTCATTCTGATCTTACATTCCTTTTGCAGTTTTTTGAGGTCTCTTTTTGCTCATATAGGCCACATCTTCAAAACACCATGAAAATTGGTGTTTGGGTTTTTCTTTGCATAATCCAAAGAATCATGAGTTCTGAATCCAAATAAATACAAAGATAACATCTGGTGGCTTTGTATATTTTAGCTGCTTTTCCTGAACTTCTGTGTTCAGTCTAGTTGTCTTCCCAGGGTGAAGGACATTTGTGTGCTCTGAAGTAGATGGTTGGTCATGAACTTCCTGGTCCAGATACTTTCATTCATGACAGTGGTGATCATCTTCGTCCTCCTCCTCCTCCTTTCCTCATCTAGCCTTTAATGATGTGATTCATTTTCTTTTGGCTTAAATGGTTCTAGCTGAGAATTCTGTGAAACCTTTGTTCTTTCTACTTTTCCTGCATTTTTTTTAAGGTATGGAAACTTCATACATTTGCATGCTATCTTTGTACAGTGACCACACTAATAATCTTTGTATTGGTTCAATGCTAACATATGCAATTTTTTCAGTTGTTTTCAAGAAAATGATTTTTTATGTATTGATAAGGTATTCTTGATTTTGTGCATTATACTTCTCAGGACTCAGAATGAGACTATATGACTGACTTCCAAGCTCAGAAAATTATAAATCTCTTGGCTCAAATTGAAGAAATAGGAAACTGGTACCACTATTCTTCATTTTCATATCATATATGAATAACATTCCTCTATTCCTGACTCTTCGTACTTCCTCTCAGGCACTATTGTTATGGCTAAGAAAAATGTGTGCCACAAGGAGATGAGAGACTCAGAGTAGACCCAACAATCCAAACATCCTTCAAAGGGTGAAGAGATAAAGAGATTATGATACATCCATACCTGAGCTATTACTTGACCACAAAAAGGAATACATTATTATACAAACATTAATAACCTGCTAAAGAGCCACACTGAAAGAAGTCAATCTCAGAAGGATGGATATTTATTGCACAATCACACTACAATTACCTAACTACAGAGAAGAAAGCATTTTAATGGTTGCCACGGTTTAAGGACTGGGGTAGACGGTATGTGTGCCTTTAAGGGGTAGCACAAGTCAGGCGTGCAATGACTAATCAATTCTGTGATTCTGTAATCTTTGGTCCAGTCACACAAACCCACATCCTTTTTCTTAGAAAGGAAGATGTAAAAGTATTCTTTACCTCTGTTGTAGTTGGGCAGGCCTTCTTTTGTCAAGTCAATAACAAGATCAAGTTTCTTCTCTACAGCCTAAAAAGTTTGTTAAAAAATTTTAAATTTAATAGCAGAAAATGTTTTTAAAATATAAAAGTACATTTTTATTTTTCAGTGCTGAGGATTGAACCTTACCTTGTTCATATTCATGCTTACAAGTGTGTCACCAATGAGCTAAGCACAGCCCCACCTAATAGTCAGAAGCTGGCAACTCAACGTTCTCTACAACTTACGGTTTAAATTGGCTCTACTAGAAGAGACACTTCTAAGCTATTGCAGTGTCTGAAAACACGGTTAAGAATCTCAGTGAACTGGTGTGTGTCATTCTGAAATATATATAGCTGCCTGGTTTCCAGTGTGCAAGCTGGACTAGAATCTGGATATGCAAACTACTCCTATATTTGTTTGTTACCCCCTCCAACACCCACTGAAGGAGGGGCAGTCAAGGGACAATTCACTAGAGACTTTCATTGCACCTAGACAAAGAGTGAATGACAAAACTCATTCTCCACAACGTGCTGTAATACTGTAGGTGCTATAGCATAAATATTCAGATGAAATATTCAGAGACAACAACTGTTACCTACCCCAACTTCAATTACGGTATTAGGTGAGTTGCTAAATTTCCTTGATGTGTTTTTTCCAATTTCTGGAAGAAAGGGAATAAAAAACATAAATACTTCCAATTAAATTTATTGAACTATTAAACATGGTCTTTGCAATACAAGATACTGAAACACAAATAATGATAGGGATACTAATACACTATATAATAAAAATAGCTAAATTTATATATCCCCAAAGCTGATAAGCTAGTTTAAAATTTTGATTTGTGATTAAAACATATTTTATTTCAGTAGCTTTACAACTACATTAGTAGCTCCTGTTTTTTAAAGTCTGAAACTATTTTAGCATCTGCATTTGTGACATTTTAGGCAGGAAGATCAGAAATTCAAGGTCTTCCTTACCTACACCGAGTTCATATCCTGTGAATAGCTGTCACATACACAAAAAAGCAGATACATTTCATGCTGAGCTCTACAAAAACAACCTATCTCATTGAAAAAATTGTTTTTTTTAAACAAAGCATTATATACAATCTCTAAAACTGAAAAGAATTTAAAACATTTAAAAACAGTTAATCAAGAAGATTCTTTAAATCTAAAATAGGTTATTAACTAATAGACACATAGACAAATTATCACTGCCACTAACAAAAGATCAGGGCAAACAAAACAGATATACATGATTTAAGTCATAAATCATGAGATCAATACATTAAAGGAAAAGCAAAAGACCTTAAACTGATAGGTACAAAGATTAAAAGAAATGTCAATTTTATTAATGAATCATCAATTTTAATTAGGTATTAACAATTAACAATCCTAGATATAAACTAGAAGATTAAGTAGACAATGCTGTACCTTATTAAAAGATAATGGGGCTTGAGAGATGGCTCAGGGGTTAAGGCTACTTGCTGTTCTTCCAGAGGTCCTGAGTTCAGTTTCCAGCACCCACATCAAGGAGCTCACAACTGCCTGCAAGTCCAGGTCTAGGGGATCAATGTCCTCTCTGGACTCTTAGAGCATCCACATAATGAAAATAAAAATCTTTTAAAAAGACATCGCTCATTCTTTATTTTAAAGCTTTCTAATTTGATAGAACATATTCTAAACATGTTAAGATACCTGTTGGAGTTGATGTAACTGGAGCTGTCAAATTAGGTTTTTCCACAGAAATTAACATAACATCATCAGTGTTACTAAAATGGTAAAAAAAAAAAAAAAAAAAAAAAAAGGAAAAAATTGCAGTTAACAGAATTCTTCTAATTTATTATTATTTAATAATGCTATTTATTAGAGGACAACTTGGGAGAGTCGGTTCTTTCTACCATGTGGATCTGGGGCACAAACTCAGGCTGGGCAACAAGCGCTTTTACTTGCTGACTTGTACAGCCAGCCCTCATTACATATTTCAGCTGAACAACTATGAGGAAAGAGGAGATAAAATCAAATATTTAACAAAGCCCATGTACTATCAATTCTTCTATATGATTCACAAGCACAGGTATGGCTCATCAAGTTAAGGGACTTGATGACCCGAATTCAATCTCTGCAACTCATCTGGTGGAAAGAGAGAACTAACTAACTCCCGTGTGCTGTTCTCTGACCTCCACAAGTGACATAGCACACACCAATACCACAAAATAAATGGCTTTTCTTTCTTTCTTTCTTTCTTTCTTTCTTTCTTTCTTTCTTTCTTTCTTTCTTTCTTTCTTTCTTTCTTTCTTTCTTTCAAGTACAGGAAAATCCAGTAATACATAAGTAAAACTTAGTAGGGATATAGTCACAATAGTTACAATATAATATACAAATATACCAAATACACAAGCACATGAAATATACAAATAACACTTTAATGCATACAGTTCTGTTCATTACAAAAATTATAACTGAAAAAAAAACTATTAAGACCCATAAGAACACTGACTTTTAAAAGATAGATGACTCTAAGGCTGGGCATGATGTCACAAACCTGTGATGCCAGCACTCAGGAGGCCAGACTGGAATTAACAAATATTATTAAAAACATAGCTGCCATTGTTTTACCTCTAATGCTATGCCCAAAGACCATGTTTTGCTGCCATTTCAACCCTCATCATACTTTAATGACCTAGACTTTTTAATAAGAGTTTTGCTAAGAAAATGCATAAACTGAGAGTACAGGTAAACACTACTTTCCGCCTCCAGTTATTCCACACAACATTTTTTAAAAAGAAAATCTTTTCTCTATAAATTACCCTGGCATTTTTCTTACACACCAAGGGACTCCATTTAGCTTGCACACTGACCTGTGTGCCTCTCCTTGCAACTACTGTCCTAATTACTACAGCACTAACAGGTTCTGAATACAGGAAGTGAGTCTACCAACCTTGTTTCTGTGTTGTAATATCATTCCTTATTATTTAGGTCCTTTTATTTTCACAAATTTAATTCAGCTTGCTACTTTCTACAAAGTATATGCCATAGTCTTCTTAAGATTACATTAAACATATATAACCATGAGTGTAAATCAACATCTTGACAATAATCAGCTTTCCAAGTCATTAATGTGACGTCATTTATTTAGGTCACCTATAATTTGGAATTACTTTGTGGTCTAATTAGGGTTTACATATATTTTGGTCTACCCCTTGGAACTGTAAATAGTATTGTTACAAATTGCAATAGGTTTTTTTCAGACCAGACATGGTGGTGCTTACTTTTTTTTTTTTTTTTAAAGATTTATTTATTATGTATACAGCATGTATGACTGCAGGCCAGAAGAGGGCACCAGATCTCATTACAGATGGTTGGTTGTGCGCCACCATGTGGTTGCTGGGAATTGAACTCAGGACCTTAGGAAGAGCAATCAGTGCTCTTAACCTCTGAGCCATCTCTCCAGCCCCGGGTGCTTACTTTTAATCCCGGCACTCGGGCAGAGGCACCCTGGTCTATATAACAAGCTCCAGCTCAGCGAGGGCTATACAGTGAGACCTTGTCTAAAAGAAAAGTTTTCCTATTTGCATTATATATAAAACCAAAAATATATTTACCCACGCTTGTCTAATTCTGGAAGTTTGTACTGTTCTACATATATCCATTTTCCCCAACCTGCAACCAACCCATATTCTTGTGGACTTAATGGATTAATCATGGTCTATTGTTACAAAGACATAATTCAACAGCAAGAACAGACAAACCACTACAGCTAAGTAACAGCATCCATGGATTTCGTACCACAAAAGCATCAAAAGACAAATCATTCCTTGAGTACAATCCCACGCGTACAAATTAAAGAAATATGTGAAAGCAGTTCATGGTGCTGGACCACCACCAGTGCTTGCTTAAGTTACAGTGGCAACAGTCAGACTTGTAATGGCACACAAGGCTTAAGGCAGGTGAGACACCACTGTGGTGATATTTTGTTTCTGCTCTAAATAAATAAAGCTTACCGAGAGATCAGAGTGGGGAGCTAGCCACTAGTTAACCATAGAGGCTCGGCAGTGGTGGCACACACTTTTAATCCCAGCACTTGGGAAGAGGAAGCAAGAAGATCAAGAGTTCAAGACCACCCTGGGCTACACAAGATTGAAGTTTAAAAGAGAAACAGAGCCAGGTGGTGGTAGCTCATGAATTTACTTCCCAGCAATAGGGAGATAGAGACAGGAAGTGATATGGCTAGGTGGAGACAGGAGCTCAGCCCCCTTTTTAGGCTGAGGAGTTGGTGAGGTAAGAAGTGGCTGTGGCTTGCTCCTTAGTCTTTCTGATCTTTCACCTCTATATTTGACTCTGGATTTTTATTATTAAGACCAACTAAAATTCACACTACACACCACTGACCTCACTGTCTCTGTTTCTGACAGATGAAGTAGCCCAGGCTGGCTTGGAGTTACTATGTAGCTGTGATTCCTCCTTCCTGCCTCCATTTCCTGCAGGCATGTACCATGCCAAGCAACCCCTGGTATTTCTAAATAGTTTACTTTGTGAAAATTCAAATTTCTTGTTAATTTTGCCAGTATTCACTTTATGATAAGTAACTTGAGCCAGTGAGATGATCAGCAGGTAAAAGCACTTGTCAGCAGGCTTAATGACCTTATATCTCCTGGGACACACATGATGGAAGAATAAAACTAATTCCTCAAAGTTGTCCTCTGTGGTGGTTTGAAAGAAACTGCTCCCCAGAGGGAGTGGCATTATTAGGAGGTGTGGCCTTGTTGGAGCAGATGTGGTTTTGTTGGATGAAGTGTGTTACTATGGAGGCTGGCTTTGAGGTCTCATATATGCTCAAGCCACACCCAATGTCTCAGACAACTTCCTGTTACCTATGAGTCAATATGTAGGGCCCTCAGCTACTTTTCTACTACCATTTCTGGCTGAATGCCACCATGTCACACCATTATCATAAAGGACTAAACTCTGAAAATGTAAGCCACACCAATTAAATGTTTTCCCTTATAAGAGTTCCCACGGTCATGGTGTCTCTTCACAGCAACAAAACCCCTAAGACATCTGCGCGGCGCGCGCGCACACACGCGCACACACACACACACACAAACACGAAAAGATGTAATAAAATAATAATATGTAACCTCCATGAAGCAGTACTACTGATTGCTACCAGTGATAAGATTTTGTGCATGGGCCATTAGAGGTCTGCATAGACAGTGACAAAGAAGTCATGTGATTGGGTTTAGAACCAATGAGAAGGCAGAACAGAAAGTCAATAAAAAATACAGACACAGAGGAAGTAGGTCTCTTTCTGAGGAGAAGGACTGCAGTGACTAGTAAGCTACAGGATATTGGCTAGTGATCTGGCCTCTTGGGCTTTTAACTATTTGGCTCCGTGTTTCTTATTTAATAAGACCATTTAGAATTACATCTACATTTGGCACACACATGGCATGAATTCATTAAAAACTGCCCGGCTTGGCCTGGGTGCCTGGCTCCCCGGGTCGGCCCAGCTTGGCCTAGGCCCCAGGCCCGACAGACCATAGCTACAAGTGGTTACCTGCAGCTGGAGCTACTTGAAGCCAGATTGACAACTCAAGTGGCTCTGGCTTAAAAAAGCAGGTGCTATGAACAACTCAGACCTGAATTGGCTCAAGCGGGGCACATGGCTTCTCTCTCTCTCTCTCTCTCTCTCTCTCTCTATATATATATATATATATATATATATATATATATATATATATATATATATATTTCTCTATCTCTATCTCTATCTCTCTTCACAACCATGATAAGTAGCTGTTTTGAAATTCCCTCAGATTTCTACTCTTCTATGCAAACTTGGAAAGTCAATTAAGATATCAGATATTTTAAAAGGAAAAACTACTTAAAAGAGCAAAGGTTTTCCAAAAAAAAAGGGGGGGGGTATTATCTGTAAAACAGAAGGAAACTGGTCTTTGTTTGATAAACTTTAGGCAGTCTGAAAATGGAACAATTATATGAGAAGATTAATGTTGATGGGATGTACATTACACCAATTATGCATATTATTACTTTCCTTATCCTTATTTTACTATTTAAAAAGATAGTCAATTTAAGTGTCAGGATAAAAGCTTTAGAAAAACCTGTTAAAATGAATTATGGAGAAATGCAGACTCAGACAGAAGAATTTAAGGGTGAAATTATTTCAGGATTGGATTATAAGGTTACAGAAAGAAAGCCTGTTTTCAAACAATCAAACTTAATTTGTCCGGTAGCCATACTGCAGCTACCTGGTCAAGTGAATGCACAAAATAATTGGATTCCAATTTAAATGTTAGATTTAAGAAGGTTTAAGGAGGCAATAGTATCTTATGGCATGCATTACCCATTTGTAAAGCAAATGTTAAACTCCTGGTCAACTTATAAGATTATTCCACAGAACTGGAAAGAGCTGGTAATTGCTGTCCTCGAACCCGGGGCCCAGTTGCAGTGGCATATGTGGTTCAAAGAGGAAGCTAAAAACATAGAAAATCAATGGAGGGCTAGACGTGTGCAAATCTCCCAGGATCAGCTTGTTGGAGGCCAATATGCTGAAATACAAAGACAATGTTTATAGGATAACCAAAACCTAATTCTATGTTGAATAGCAGCCTTGAATGCATGGGACAGAATTGAGGAACCAGGAAAGAAAACTGAGTCATTCACAAAAGTTATACAGGGCCCAAAAGAATCCTTCACGGATTTTTTTTTTTTTTTTTTTTTTTTTTTACAAAGACTGACTTCAGCAGTA